GATTTAAGTTAAATATGGCTTTGAGCCTGATGTAGACCAATGTTTTAAGGCCATTTGCCTCTGACCCCTGAAGAGCGAATCGAAAAGGGCAACTGGCCTTCCCTTTATGGAAAGAAAAACACAGTTTCGTACGTCAAGTGTACTACTGATACTATTAATAATTCAATTAAGTTATTTATTAATATCTTGCATCAACATAAAGAAGGACATTTACATATACAACAGAAGAATAATAAATACAGAAAGGTAACATCAAAATAGGTTTTAAAAAAATTATAAGAGTGTAAAGGATCATTATATTTCACTAAGACTAACGACCTTTACCATTTGGTTCATTCGCGAAATAAAGCCGAAGACTAAATCAAGGGACTATCAATCTTAAACATCCACAGATTTACACATCCGATGAGCGACATTTGAGGGTCTCACGGCGTCGAATATGAAGATTTCTGTCTTCTGGGTTGTTGCTGGTAGACGTTTATCGACGTTGCAGAGGTGACTGCTGCTTATACATCTTCAGGGAAATATGTTACCCGAAAACATGATGAACGTTAAAGTCCACACAGCATTACAACCCAGAAGACCAACACCGTCGTACTTTCTAACCGTTAAACCTTCAATTTTGGCTGCTTACTCAGCAGAGTTAGCAAAGAACCGCTGGACAGAGCAGCAGAAGAAGGCAATCTTCTGACTTATTTGTTGACTAGTTCCATTTGCTCTCTTTTCGTCCGTGTGCCTTTGTCCACATGTGTAAATAGACTACAGTAATGGCAAATCGTGTTGGAAGTGACCATGTTGACAGGACGTTATGACGTGTTTAAGGCTGGGTCAAAGACCGGTCCAAAAACAGTGAACTAAGAAAGTATATAATGAAATTTGGATTTTCCACGGCGATTTTAAATAAAGACTTTTTTTTGTCTGAAATGTTTTCAAATTTATCGTACTTAATAGACATTTTACATTTAAAATTATTCACTGTCAGGACTTTTTCCATCGTCTGTTCTTTAAAACCCGCGACGTTTCGGAGGCTGGTTCTGTCTCCGTCTTCAGGTGAGAGGTACCTACTCTGTTGGGTTCCTTAGATAGAGCTAGTCTTATCGTCTGGTATTTAAAATTCACGTCTGTGGGGTTCAGTCAGAAAAGTATTTACGAAAGAAGCCATTATTAATGTCAATCTGTCTGTCTGTAACAGCACCCGTGCCAGGTCGCCGATTTAAATAAAATTTGTTGTGCTGCTCCGACATTAGTGGAATTTTAATTTTAGTTTACTTTGACTTATTTTAATGCCTGTTTTACAGGATATAAACGAAGTATTTTGTGGTATTTGACAGATTTATAAAACCTGAAATACTCTGTTCATACTACAAAAATTTTACACATGAAGAAGTTTTATATTATTTAACCAATTTTCGAAAATATTTATATAAATACATTTAAGGAAATGGATCACGAAGTATTTACCTGGTAAAACTATTTAAATAAAATTTGTAATATTCACATGATATTTGCAAAATGAACTGAACTCTTTCGAAATTTAAGTCGTCGATATACAGAGGAATATAGTATTATTCCAAAACATAAAATGCACTTGTTAACATCAACCCAAGGGGTTAATTTCCTCTTTTCGTTCTACGTACATCAAAGTACGAACGTATTCCATGAAAATTATTTGTATATCGAAAAAGAAATTAATTTAATTTAAATGTTAAAAATTCTGACTTGTTCCCGACTCCTATAAAAATCAATATTTTTCCCATTTATATTATACAGTCATAAAAATAATAACAGTATTGCTTTTTATGATTATATATTACCTATATAACCCTGTAATGTTAATTAAAACGTTTACATTGTACAGCAGCTAACTGCAATTACAGTGAGATGATAATGTTGCGTCATATTGTGATAAATATATATTTGTTTAAATCTTGTCAGTCTGATCACAATAAAATTCCTATTAAATATTAAAATATTAATATGTTCTAATGTAAATCAAACATTTCGATAGAGAACATCATTTTAATATATTTTAAATATTTAAATGTTAATTATAGTAATATTTTAATATTTTAAAATATTAATATGTTCTAATGTAAATCGAACATTTCGATAGAGAACATCATTTTAATATATTTTAAATATTTAAATGTTAATTATAGTAATATTTTAATATTTTAAAATATTAATATGTTCTAATGTAAATCGAACATTTCGATAGAGAACATCATTTTAATATATTTTAAATATTTAAATGTTAATTATAGTAATATTTTAATATTTTAATATTTAATAGAATTTTATTGTGATCAGATGACAAGATTTAAACAAATATATGCAATTACAGTATAAATATTACAACTTTCGCTATTCTTTCGCGTTCATTAGTTACGAAGGATGGTTTTGTTGTAAGAAAATAATGTTCGTAAATTTAAAAATATGAATTTATTTATAGGGTTCGTTGTAGCAAAAATTGTTAAGCCGGAAGTCTGCAAATCGATGGATAGATGTAATATGCACAGGCCGTCTGACAAGGCTAAGTCACGACATTATTACGAAATTCTACTCACACAGGGAGGTTCCTGATGCATATGCGAATGTTTTAGGCACCTGTTAGAAGGAATATCAATAGATCCGTGATCAAATCTCACGACTCGGTTGCGTGTTTGTCCTGTAATAAAATACCCACACGTAATCAGACACATGACCTGATAATGGATACACTGCTGTGAATCCTTAATTTACGATCTCATGTAGAACAAATGAAATACGAATACCGAGGCCATTTGGAGGTTCGTCGTGAGGAACAAGGCCATTTGAATATTACAGTTAGGCCTGTAGAACGTTATATGTGTTCTGACACATTGTATTTATATAGCGAGAAAATAGTATCGCCATCTAACGTCAATACACGAAAGTAAGATAAATTACTAGCGATGTTGATATTTCAGTCTACTCGTGTTCATTTTAATCCGTCGCCACTTAATTTATTTAATAATTAATCATACCGCCACGGTGGTCTAGCGGTTAGAACGCTGTCCTTGTAATCCTGGGGTCTCGGGTTCGATTCCCGGCGGTGCCCGAATTTATAACTTGTGTTGGACAAGGCCGTGGTCTAGGCAACACGGAGTTTTCATCCGTGGCATCCCAACAATTACTCCATTCACACACAGAAGAAGGCAATGGCAAACCACTTCTGGATCATCTGCCAAGAACGTATATGAACAGGTCCCCGTCCGAGAAAAGGATGGAAGGATCCTGTTCATATGGACCTGTCGCCAGACAGAACACTAATAAATAAATAAATAAAAATAATTAATCGGTAAGGATGTATAATGAAGCTGTCATGGCCTAATTTAAGGCAAGCCTGGAGGGACTGAGGATAACCACGTAAAACTTCAGTCGGGATAGTCGATCTCTGGGGCCGAGTTTTGAACCCGAGACCACACGTACACGAAGCAGGAGTGATACAGTTTTATATTGATACTGAAAATGTGTCCTTTGTCATGTATCTTCCCCTCTTTGGGATAAACCAAAATAATTTTGGTGTATATTTGGTGGCAAATCGACTGTTTTTGTAGTAAAAATGTTAGGAAATTTACACATTACATAATAATTCTTTTGCGTTAGTCAGAATTCGAATTTTAGACTTTTCGAATTACGCCAGTGACATAAAAATTGTCTGAGGTCAGTGACCTCGACCTTTGTACCTTAGCACCTCTCAACTTACAGCTCCTAATATCTGGTTATTTCCTGGATGAAAGCAGAAGGATTGGAGAAATTAATTTATAAATTTTATTTATATACAGTTGTGATTAGACGGAAAAAACACGAATAATTAAATTTATTAATCAAAGAAAAATTAGAAAAAATTCTAGTATTTTTCTCCAAAAGTGGGTTGCTGGCATGTCGACGACAAAATTCTGTGTTGTGTTATCGACGAAATATATTACATTTCATCTCTACCCAGTTGGGAAAGCAAATGCGAAAATACAACGGTAATATAATTATTTCAGTTAGCATCTGTTCAAAAAGTTTATCTGCAGCAGAAAACAAAACATTAACAACGTATCTGATGTGAAAGGACTTTCCGAACACACTGTATAAGCTCATCCTGTTTTACCGTGACGCCCAAAAAGTTTGTCGTCTGTTGTTTCTTATTATTTTTAATTATCTTAAAGTCTCCTGTCCATGAATCAAAAGAAACATTCGTCCCTAATAATGATATTCACTTTGGTAATCTTCTACCAGACTACACGGCGCTACAATCCAGAAGAAGTCATCGCCATAGGCGATTTTGCGTGATGACGTAGTTTTAGTACAGGGTACTGCCGTACAGCGCGCTGCATTGCAGTATCGAATACTTTCGAGCGGAAAGCAGCGTTCCTAGCGAGAGATAAAGAACTACTATTGCATCTGCCTTCGTTTGTTCGGTAAACTTAAAATAACTGGTTATTTTTTTATCAGTGATTGGTTCCTATGCTAATAATTATAATTAGTCGTTCTTTAGTTTGGTATTGAAATAAGAAGACGACTACGCAGTGAACTGTACATGGGGTGAGATTTAATCTGTGCCCGGGTGAGTGAAGTCGATAATAATTTTTGATCAGACTGCCCGAAAACCCATACATAACCTATTTCAATGCTTCATGTTTATTAAGGTTTTGACCGGGATGTTCTTTTGTTAAATCTTATGTGGTACCGCCTGATTCGACTTCTAATGGTTAAGTGAAGTGTTTTCTTCGCGGTACGGTCTGGATTCGTAAATAATATTCAGACGATCTTCGTCTTCAAAGGGTTAACGTCAAAAATTACAAAAAAATATTATATTTGTTACCAGATTTTTGAGTCAGTGTGATCAACTTTTAATCACATATATATGGAAATACGAATTTTATCTAAGCAGCAGAGTACTTAAGGAAATCGATATTTTTACAAGGAATTCTTAACAAAATATATAAACCGACGAACGTAAATACAATTTTAAATGAGGAATACAACTGTTCACTTGTACGATAAGTCATTTTATTCACTGTAACGCTATTGAATAACTGTCAAATCAAAGGAGTACAGAAGTAGACAGATCACTAAACAAAAACGAGATCTCAAGGCTTGAGATTTCAAAAATTAGAAGGCTTAAAGCTTTGAAGAGTCACACATTTTGATCTGTTGGTTAGAAATAAAGTTTTGGTACTTTGAAAGTATTACACAATGCAACTAAGTAAAATACAAGCCCATGAAATGATCATTCAATTATGGACAAATCACGTCGCTGTTTTATTTTCTATTAAGAAATAAGCTTGATGTTACTATGCATTATTTTTTATACCAACAAATTTGCGGAAACTCAAGTTTAGTAAGCACGTACTTTGATATAAGTTCCCCTATTAAAATTGTAATGGCTGCCACAAAACCCATCGCCAGTGCAGTAAATAGGAGAGCCACAGACTTGAATTCTATTTCACTAAATAATTCTCCTGCGTTGTCCAGCGTCCTGGGAATTGTCGTGCTGGAAATTCTCGACAGAATACCATTTCGACGGAGTTCTGAAGAACTGAAATAGATTATGATGTTAACTGGTATTAATTCGAGTTCTTAATGAGCTTGTAGAATTATAAAGGGTTTAGTGTCACTTGAACCAATATTTATATTTGTTTAATTTTAACCGTCTAATCACAATAAAATATTTTATTGTGATTAGACGATTAAAATTAAACAATTATAATTCATCACAATATGACACAACATTATCATCTCATAATATTTATATTTATTTTTGGGACTATTTCGTATTCTTGGGTTATCTGTCCGGTTTAGTCTTTTTACAAATTTTATGAAGAACTCAGGACCTTAAAATATGACTGATTATGTCTTAAGAATTTAAAAAAAAATAATATAAATATGGAGAAATTAGATAGTCCATGGTTGTGATAAAGAAACTATTTGAACAAAGATTTATATTTGAAAATAAATTATTTAATCTTCAATACTTAATTAGCAACGTTTTTATAGTGGAATCTTAGGAATTACACTTGTAATCGGAATACTCTAAAAAAATAATTAATGTTGACGAATATACAGACTAATTTTTGACTTAAAGCCTAACAGAACTTAAGCAGCGAAGCCAATCTTAAGTAAATCGATTAATAGTTGTTATTAATTATATTGATGTGTGATAAGTACTTTGCCAGGTTTTGTAGAAACTTGTTGTAGGCTATGGTGAATGTTTACACAACCACTGTAACGTGAAAAATTAATTAATTTCAGTTTCAAATTTTTGTTTTAATTGAGGACATAATTGAATTTACTCGTATGTGAGATTCAAGGTTCTCACAGCGTCGAAGATGGCTTTCAGCTGTGACGTTGGTACATACACACATACAGACATAAGACGCACGAACAAAATGTAATTACAAAACGATGTTAGCCATGAGGACGGATTTTCGTATTCTTTTCCGTCACACTTACTAATGACTGAGAATCCTCTTGTAAGGACTTCCCTTCGTAATTGCCATGGCCATGCTGGCTGGTATCGCTGTGGCTGGAAGGCGCACGATCTCACACGCCAGCTGTCCTTTAAAAGAGTCCACCCCAGTTTCCACGCCAGCGAAGGCTATGTGGTCTTCTGAGCAGAGCCGCTGAAGACCTTCGGCCTGTGACCTTGGCATGCTTTGCTTTATTGGTTTCATGAGCGTCTCGTACACTTCTTCTATCAGTGGATTTGAAGATTGCTGAAATAAGTCATGAAAGAAGTCATTAAATTATGTAAGCCTACCTTTTAAGTCGCACATTTCTTCGTCTATCACTACCTGGGTAGTTTGACTTGTTCCTAAATATCGAGTCGTGCACAAATGCAATATTATTAAATCCTACTAACAACGGAAACAAATTGCTAATATATTATTCCTTAAAATGGTAAAGTTGAGTCATATTGTGATATAATAAGTATATATTAAATCTTGTCCGTCTAATCACAATAAAATTCTTATTAAATATTAAAATATTACAATAATTAACATTTTAAAATATTTAAAATAT